TCCACTATTGTCCCAGTCAATGTTAAATTATTCTGAGAGTTTATTGTCAATATGTCTATAAATTATTCAAAGTCCTGCTATCACCCCCTCCTCCAAACTATAATTGATTTTGACAATTATGTATATATATATTATGTCAGTTTGAACGGTGATACATGGAATTTGTGTATATTCTTATATCTGACAGTTTTGCTTATTCACTAACATCGTCTTGTCACATTTCTCTGTCACAGAAAGATGTTCATCACCTCTATAGCACAAATTTTCGACCCGTTAAAGATGAGGACGATGAAATGTACTTGGAAGATATGGAAGTCACTTGCCAACTAAGTGGTAATGACACACTTAAAGAGGTAAGAGTCCTCCTCTTACCCACATTACCCTTCCCGTATTAGAAGTTTTGGCTCTTGACTGTATAATAGTATACAAATGAAACACAGCGGTGAGGGCATTAGTAATAATTACCCCCACAAGTTACTTTTTGAACAGTCTAACACGCCCGAGGCGGTAGCCGAGGGTGTATGGGCTGTTTGTAAGGTATCGAGTGTGGGTAATCTTACTAATGCCCGAAGAAAATGATTTGTCTTATTTGTTTTATAAAATTATGTTTCATTTTTTTAAATAAAATTATGTTTTATAACATAATTTTACTAATGACCTGTCATTATCCAATGTACGCATTATACAAAATAAATACCTGGTCACGTGTACGCTCTTATTAAATCATTTGATTAGGATCCACGTCATCATATTATACAAAATAAAATACTAGTAATAATATAACAGAGTAGAACATATCATTTTTTTTCTTCTTGAAACAAAAAAAGAAACTTTCCATCCAGGTATCATATTACATACAACTACACATACACTTATACACAATTTATAAAATAAGTACAATAAGTACATTTACATTACAACTTTCAAATGCATAACAAGTATGAAGAAATGAATACAAATTAATATATATGATACACTTTACATAGAATATATGAGGATAAAGAGAAGAAGAGTAAAAGGGAGAAATGGACAAGAATATACATGTACGGACCCCCCCCCCCCCATCCTGAGCTTCACTCTCGATCAAACACGTACGAAGAGATATAGAGACAGGAAGAGAACTTGTACTATGAAGCACAACAGAAAAGGAAAGGAACACAAATAAAATGAGAAAGAGATACATATTTATACAAAAAAGGTTAAAGAAGTTATTGGGAGGCCATCTGCACTGCTGCTGCTCGGAGGAAAAGTAAGCAAGGTTATCACAAACGAACAACTCCATGACTTAAGTACATGTTGATATGCATGGAAATGTCATGGAAATGTCGGCGGGCGCATGCCAGGTGGCTACCATGCCATCCATTGTTAAGTTAGAAACACGTTCAACAGCCCGGCACACGCCCGTCGAGGATCCCGAGCTAAAACATAAAGGGCTGATTTATTTAAGACCAATTTCAAGAAATTACGAAAATAACACATCCCCACAATGTCATGAATAATAGGCACGAGAAAACGCAAGTTTAAGTTCGGCATGCCAGGTGGCTACCGTACCAACCATTGTAAACTAAACTTGACTGTATCATCTTAATTATAGGAAATATTTGTATTTTTCGTCTTCATATGTTATTGTGAATATACATTAATATATTACGTATTAAAAAAAAAAACAAGACTGCTTTTCATATAAAAGACCGTTCGTGTAATCCAATTGACTCCCATGAACAAAAATATTTCCATTTCGGTCACTGGTGGGCCATAAATAGGGTGAAATAAATTACCTGAAGTAGGATGCAAATATACAAAGCAGGGTGTAACTGTATTAATCGAAGTAGGGTGAAAGGATAACCAAACACTTGATTATCAGCCGCCACTGGGAGCTTCCTGAATCTCTGGGGATAGAAGAAGGCTAGACAAACACCGCTGCCACCAATGTAGGGCTGCGGTTCTCACACAGTTCCTAGCACTCTTAACATGGAGGCAGCACATCAAACAGGTTGTCAGATTGATACCCACTGGCTAACTAACCAAATTTTAGTGTGTAATTGCATTAATGCATTCTATGAAGCATTCCGCATAAATTCCATGCAAATTAGAAGAACAAATATTATTAAAAGCATACATGTACAAATCAATATCACGAAGTATTCTTGAATATTTAAAAATACATATATATATATAATTTTGACTATTGTTATTATACGCAAATCATACTTAAAGCTTGACTGCATCGGTTAAACATCGAAACCAATCAGGGAGAGAGATTAAAGCATGGTGGATACAAATAGTGAATGTGAATGACGGATGACCTATTGGTGTGAGAGGGATGACTTGTGAATAAGAATAGAGGGGAGTTTAGAAGTTCTAAATCCCTACACAAAATGGATGGGTGGGTTTTTAATAACGTACAAAGGCAATACGAAAATATGTGCGGATATCAGAAGAATCAATCATATTGAATTGATTTACCCAGTTCAGACCACCTAGGTCATTTCGAGCTCAGGCTAGTGTTTTGCTGCGATGAACTAGTATCATCATCATCAACTTCAGGTGGCCCTGTAAAGCGCTGCTGTGGTCTTCACGAGAGCACGCCATGCAACTCTTTCACCTGCCATTTGTATTGCACCTTTCATTCCTTGTCCAGACACTTTCTTGATATCATCAGTCCAAGATATCGGTGGACAACCTCTAGCCCGCTTTCCTTCGACTGCTCCTTGCAGTATTTGCTTCTCAACGCCTTCAGATCTCCTAACAATGTGCCCCAAATAGTTAAGTTTTCTTTCCACGATTCCCCTTCTGATGGTCAAGTCTGTTCCAATCTTTTCCAGGACCAACACATTTGTCTTTTTTATCTTTCCATGACACATGCAACAGCCTCCTGTAGCACGACATTTCACAGGCATATTCTCTCTTTCTGGCCTTCTTTGTTATGGCCCAGGACTCACTTCCGTATGTTAAAATAAAATACGTAGAACACCGATTCCCATTCACAATGCACAGATCACCGTGTGGCAGTCGGAGGCGTTGGGGATACGCTCGATTGTACACGATGCCATATTAATTGCGTAAAGTCCTTGATTTTTTTTAGCAAAGCCCAGTCGACCATGTAGCGCATGATGTCACAGTTCAATATTCTATTCCTTTTGTTGTTTATAGGGCATTATGCCATCATCTTAGATTTACTTATTATTTTTGAGTCGGCTTTTTCATAAATCAATTAATTGCCTGCGTTATGTTTAAGCACAGGGGTTCTCAAACCTTTTCCTTTGCGGTCCCGATGTGATTTTCATGAAAGTTAAACGGTCCTAAACAATAGGAACATTTAGTTTACTTAATCAAATGTTTCCATAATGTAAGTTTGTGATATTATGTGTCTTTACACGTACTTTAATTATCAAGAGTTAAGACAGTCAAAAATGGAAGGAATGGTATGCGCGTAGGTATACCAGTGGGGAAATTGACACCGTTTTCCGGCAATTAGCTGCTGAAACCAGAAAATGTTGTAATAAAATGGAATAATTATAAGACGAAGGCATTGGTAAAAAAATTCAGAATTGGCAATCTACTCGTAAACTGTATAGTAAGGGTATTTGTATACTAAAGAAAATGAGGCTTGTTTCAAACTTTTAGGCCTCAATCTGATATTAGAGGAATGTTGACAGTTTTACCCAAATAAGGCAATACATATAAAATACTCTAGCAATATGCCAATATATGGCCAATATTCCAAAGGAGCACCCCCCCTCCCCTTCACCTCGTTTGAGAGAGAGAGAAAATAGCAACTTCACTTATTTATATTTTGAAATTTTCCTTGAAGGCCTTATAAACACCTTTACAAGTACATATATTTAGGGGGAAGTTATTTATTCATTTTAAATGGTTTTATTTGATAATAAATCATTTACGACCACAGTGCTGTAGATTGTAGATTAGTTAACAACCATGATATATAGTAAATACATTGTATTAATGAGCACAATAGCAATAATAACAAGTGAGAAACATTGTAGGTAGTACGGGGTTGGAAAATAAAAGGATCACGCTATTTTGAGACACTGATAGAAAGAGAAACTGGTGAGAGAAAACAGGTAGAGACAGAGAAGGAGATCGAGGGGGAAAAAAGATGGATAAATACAAATTAGGTAGAGGGAGAAAGAGAATTTAATTAAAGGGAACAATAATGGAGATAGTAGTAGGAGAGACACAACCCGGGACACAACACTGTTATTGACCACCACATTATTCAACAAGACAATAATTACCATAATGATATAAATATTGCATGCTCCAGCATATAATAATAGCGAAACATATGGACCGACAATTTCAAAATTCCCGAGTGATGTTAGATTTCACCGAGACTGCGGGCGAAGCTGTACATTCAGGTTGCCATTGCGTCACATGATCGACGCTTACATATTGCATACAAAATACGATGTTGTTTAGAACCAGTTACCTGTACGGCGAGCCAAAATGACGTACGTTAGCACTACTCTTTAAATGTATCTTAGTTATGTCATAGAGAGGTATTTGATTGTGTTCTCCACCTGCAAGAGAGGCATATATTTATCATGCTTGGTCTGCGGCTCAGAGTGTACTTCAAAGAAAGGAAATAGATGTAACTCTATCTGTAAATTGTTTTTGATCTTACCCGCTTTAGTATCAGTTCCTTGTATTATATTTGAAAATGCAGTTAATGTTATCTGGTTTGCTGAGGACAAAAAGACGACTCTCTGCACGAAATTGTATTATGGCGTTGATTTGTACTTTAATCAAATGACCAACGATGTGAGTGAAATGTCGTCGAACAACGCAGTTCTTGAGATATTGAAGAATATATAATTCAATTTCTTTGGCAGGAACTATAAACTTTCTTAAACATAATGAGAGTCAGCCAAATTTCTAGCTTGACGAAATATGCACATACGGTTGAAATGTCAAGCCTTCGGTCGAAACTTGTGGCCTCGGGTTTTCTGACATGTTTCGAAGCTAAAATTATCCACCTATAAACGGCCGTAAACCGAAAAACCTATGGTATCTTTCAATAAACAAGAAAAAGAGTAAATATCAGCAAATCCCCTAGAAATAAGTTTCGATCATCGAAACATCCTCCCGTCCCACCGGATGAGGAGTCTTTCTGAAAGCCTGAAATTTCTCAAAACAAATACACTGTATATCGTATGATTACATGCATGTGATTCATTACATATATTATATCAACAGTCTCAGTTCAAATGAGAACTCATTCTCTATTGTTCAGTTCGATCTAGTCAATATAACCTTCTGCTGGGTAGATTACTGCTAGTTTTGAAATCGGTCTCCGATACTCTCCAGAAACAGTTTTTAGCTTCACATTCCGAACCTTACCATCAGGTCCTGGATAAACCTGAATGATCCTAGCTATAGTCCACTTTCCACGTACTGCATTACTATCTGCAGTCATTACAACATCTCCCACACGAACGTTCCTACGATCTGTGTTCCACTTTCTGCATGGTACTAAAAGTGGTAGGACGTTTTGCGACCACCGCTTCCAAAAGGAATCTACTATCTGCTGAATGAATTCTACGCGATGACGCGGATTCTTGGTTTGCTTAAATAGACCTTGAGGAACATTTCTTGATGACCTACCTAACAATATATCATTGGGACTCAAATAACTTCCATCACCTGGGTCATTGCATTTCCGTCCTATCGGTCGCTCATTCATGAAATTAGCTACTTCGAGAAAACATGTTAACAACTCAAATGGAGTGAGCACCTGCTCACCGATTGCTTTCTTGATTGCAATTTTAGCACTCTTCACGAGCGATTCTGCGCACCCATTTTGGTGGGGTGCACCAGGGGTAATGAACTTCCACTGTACTCTTTTTTCCGCACAGAAATCTTTGAGCTCATCTTCACTCCATCCCGATATCATCTCGCGAAGTTCGCGTTGAGCTCCGACAAATTGGGTACCATTATCGCTAAGAATCTGAGCTGGTTGTCCCCTCACTGCGAAGAATCTCCTTAAAACGTGGAGAAATTCCATTGTTGAACAATCAGTCGCGATTTCAAGATGAACTGCACGGGTGTTTAGGCATGTGAAGATTACACCATAGTGTTTGGCCCTCTTGTTACGACCAACTTTAACTTGAAATGGACCAAAATAATCACAGGACGTGTAATAAAACGGTGGAGTATGGGGTGCTAGGCGACTGCTCGGCCAATCAGCCATCTTCTGTGTTTCACGCTTACATTCTGCTGACCTGCACTTCACACATCGATGCTTAACAGTTTTAGCTAGACGATGTCCCTGAAGAATCCAAAACTTACGTCTAGTCTTGGCGGTTGTTGTCTCAACTCCCGGATGTCCAATCTCATGAACATGGCGTGTGATTAAAAGAGCTATATGATGGCTAGCTGGCAGCAGAGCTGGGTGTTTAGATTCGTAGGATGTCACTAAGTTCTCCACTCTACCCCCTACTCTGATTATTCCTTTGTTGTCAAGGAAAGGAGTGAGAGTTTTGAATTCCCCTTTCTCAAATCTGCTCTTCAGACCTTTCTGAGCCTCCTTCGTCCAGTAGTGCTCAGCCTTCTCTAATTCTGCAGGAGTTAAAGTTACATCATCTTCCGGTATGGATGCTTTCATGAGCTTTGACTTGAGAATCTGCACATATCTGAAAACGTAGGCAGTCACTCTTACTAACTTTCGCCATTTTGAGAAGCGTTCACATTCGATTGGGGTGACTGTCATGTTGATGACTAAGACTGTCTGAGTCTTTCGTCTTTCTAGATTCTCATGTTTTTGATCGATTGTAGCTTTGTCCACTGGCCACTCTTGTTCATTGAGGTGGAGAAAGTTAGGACCGCACATCCATTCATCCATTAGTTCCTTCACTGCGATTCCTCTCGAAACTTTGTCTGCTGGATTATCTTCACCAGGAATGTGTTTCCAACTTGAGGGGTCAATGAGAGTCTGAATCTCCCCCAACTCTACTTGATACGAAAGGCTTATACACCCTGGCTGAAGACTTGATCCACTGCAGAGTAATCATGCTGTCAGTGAACAACACTACTTTCTCGACCTCTAGTCTCATCTCTTCGGTGATTGACTTGTAAAGTCTGGCAGCTAACACGGCAGCTTGTAATACAAATCTCGGTATTGTCAATGCCTTTAACGGTGCTACCTTTGACTTTGATGCAATGAAGCGAGTCTCATACCTGTCATCTCTGGTTTGCCATCTCAGGTATGCACAAGCACCATATGCATTTTCGGAAGCATCAGAGAAAATGCACAACACTGGCTGGCCTTGAGCATCAGGAAGAGTAAGGCATCTTTCTAGTGATACTTTATTCAATCCTTTCATTTCCTCAAACAGAAGCCTCCATTCAGCATCTTCTTCTGGTGAAAGATGATCGTCCCAGTTGTAGCCTCTCTGCCACAATTTCTGCATACCTATCTTTGCTCTAACAATTACTGGTGCAGCAAATCCTATGGGGTCAAATATGTGGGCAATCTGACCAAGGATCTTTCTTTTAGTCGATTTTTCTTCACTCTCTCCATCTGTTGCTGATTTCACTACACTGTCTTTCAGCGTTACTTTGTAAGAGAAGGTGTCATTTTCTCTGTCCCAAACTACTCCAAGGACCTTCTCTTCAGCTATCTCATCCAACAATTTCATCTTTCCCTGGGTGAGGTCTCCGACATCTGATTCATTCGAAATCCACCCTTTGACCTTGAAGCCACCTTCATTCAACACTTCATCCATCTCGGCGCTGAGTTTCCTGGCTTCATCTACAGTCCTTACAAAGTCGCAAATGTCATCCATGTACAAAATCCTCTTTAAAACAGTAGCTGCCTGAGGATGTGTACTCTCTCCTTGCTCTGCTGTAAGCTTATGGGCAGTATGGGCTATCGCAGGTGCAGGATTGTCACCGAAAGTGACAACTTTCATCATATAGATGTCAGGTTATCTGTGCTCATCCATGTCCCTCCATAGGAACCTGTGAACATGTTGGTCTCTCTCTGGGATTGACACTCGATGATACATCTTAGATATATCCCCGCATAAGGCCACTTCGTTTTCCCTGAATCTCAGAAGTACTCCAATCAGATTGTTCAGGAGATCAGGGCCTTTCACCCAGTACTCGTTTAATCGATGAACTTGGAATGATGCTGATGAATTGAAGACTATTCGGATAGGGGTGCTCTTCTTTTCTGGCCTTACAATCGCATGGTGTGATATGTAATGAACTGGCCCTTGGCAAATCCCATTTCTTCCGGTTCATGAATTTGCTTGTTATAGGCCTCTGCATGCACTGGATTTCTAGCAAGTCTCTTCTCAGTAGACTCCAGTATTTTCACTGCTTGACTTTTGTTATCTGGAAGTTCATGAGGATCCCGTTGCCATGGATAGGCTATCTCCCATTTCTTTCCTATATTCTGCGAAGAAGCTCTGATGATTTCTTCCTTCATCTGTTCTTGCTTGGTTAGCTTGGTAGTCTCTTTGCACTGAAAACCTACCCCTTGTGTTTCCAGTCGCCAAAATTCTGACAGATCGGGGTTCTGGACTGCGACATGTAGCACATTCACACAAATGGTTCTCTTGTCTGTGCCGCCGAAGATTACCCATCCTAACGGAGTTTTTCTTGCGATACAGTTTTTTCTCTTCTTCAGTTTTCCGCCTACAATGTATCTTGGATAGTCAATGCCTATCATAACTTCTACAGGTCCACTATCTCGATTCAGGTTGGGAATATCGAACTGATCTGCTAGGTCTTTCACACTTACAGCTTCTTCCTCCGTGATTGAAGGTATACCTACAACTTCGATGAACTGATGTTTCTTGGATGTATTCGCTTCCCGAATCGGCACCTTGTATTTGAATGTCTCCAACTCTTCCTCACCTTCACCAAGTTTTGTAATGGTAATTCTAGTTCGGGTACCAGTCAAGTGGAGTTTCTCTGCTAGTGAGTTCTTGATCAGACTAACTTGTGAGCCGCTATCTAGCAGAACATTGGCTCTTATCTGTAAATCACTGGCAATGTCTATGGTTAGGATTGGCAGAAGTGAAGCTCCGACAGTAGTTGCAACGTTAATGTTGTTTTTACTGCTCTCATTCTCTGATTGGTGACCCACTTCCATATGGAGCAAAGGATGATTGTAGTAAGTGTACCCTTGCTCTGGACACCTCTGCCTTCCTATGCAGTTTGCCATGTAGTGATTCTTCCCTGCTTTTTTCAAACATCTAAAGCAGCATCTGTTTTCTTTGAAGAACTTAAGTCTCTCTGGGGCAGCCATAGATGTCAGGCGCTTACACTGATCGATACAGTGTTCATCCGTCTTGCAATACCAGCATCGATTTTGTCTTTGAAATCGGTCCGGTGGCTGATCTTCATGACGTCTGTCACTGTAGGCTGGTTTATTCTTCTCTGTCATTGACATTTGGTTGACGTTTGCTGAACGGCCTTCGCTTTGAGATCTCAATGGCGCTGAAGATCTCATTCGAGCCTTCATTTCTAGGTTTAACCATGTCAACAAAGTTTGAAGACCTGCAGTTTGCTTCTCTGTTTCTTGGTATCTAAACCAATTCTTTCTGTCATTATGGCACATCTTTCTTTCTATGGTGGCTAGCATATGACTGTTGTCCACATCGCTCTTCTTCCCCCCACAAGCTTGAGGATGTTGTAGCTTCTTCTTACAAGATTAACCAATTCACAAAATCTGTTATCCTTGTTTTCCTTCAAGGGTCTGAATTTGGTTAAGTCATTGATGATAGTATCTGCTACGATTCTGGGGTCGCCATACATAGAGTCCAAGAGCTCCCATGCCGCGTCATAGTCACTTCCTATCCCTTGGATAATGTCATGTGCACGGCCCACTAGACAGCTTCTCAAGATTGTCATGGCATCACGTTTTTCATACTGCGAATCAACCATGTGAATGAAGTCTGACTTGAATATCTCATAGTCCCGAACATCTCCAGCAAACTTGGGCAACTTTGGCTTCTCCACTTTAAAACTACACCTGGCAGCTGCCATGCTTGGAGAAGTGTCTGGACTCTGATCTGGAGGTGGAGGCGCACTTGTAGACTCCGGTGGCATCTCAGACTGTGATGATACTTGCTCTGCTGGTGTATTAACGTCTGGGCTTGTTTGGGAACAGTAATCAGTGACCGTTATCTTTAGTTTCATGAATTCCTTCTGGCAATCATTCATCCACTGCTCCTCTGTCTCAAACTCAGCATCATCATCAAGAGTCAAAGCGAAATTTTCATGCGCTTCTTGTAATGCTTCAAATGCTTGCTCAACCTTATCAAATGCAGATTGAACCTCTGGCTCTACTCGGTTGTTGTCGAGCAACATCTGAAGACCATTGCTGTGTCGTGTAAACCTGGCCTTCGATCCCCTTCTCGTAATAATTCAGCGAAGCTCCAATATAAATTGAATAGTATGGTTTGCTGAGGACAAAAAGACGACTCTCTGCACGAAATTGTATTATGGCGTTGATTTGTACTTTAATCAAATGACCAACGATGTGAGTGAAATGTCGTCGAACAACGCAGTTCTTGAGATATTGAAGAATATATAATTCAATTTCTTTGGCAGGAACTATAAACTTTCTTAAACATAATGAGAGTCAGCCAAACTTCTAGCTTGACGAAATCTGCACATACGGTTGAAATTTCAAGCCTTCGGTCGAAACTTGTGGCCTCGGGTTTTCTGACATGTTTCGAAGCTAAAATTACCCACCTATAAACGGCCGTAAACCGAAAAACCTATGGTATCTTTCAATAAACAAGAAAAAGAGTAAATTTCAGCAAATCCACTAGAAAGAAATTTCGATCATCGAAACATTATCTGTACAAGTTAATCTTGGTAACCCATGTTGCATTCCCTACAAATATATTATAATATTATTTTGAATCATCTTGTCCTGCCAATTATTTGAATATTATTGCTTAAATAGATCCAGTCGCAGAAAGTCTTTGCATCCGACTTGGACCTGAAGATTCGTGAAACTTTGTACTTCCCATTGGATTTGACTGATAAAGCAGATGACTCGGTGGTGGAGCTCAACGTAAAACAGTCATATATTCAGAAGGTTATTAGGTTCGGAACACGTTACCAAGGTATTTGTGTTCGGTTTGAACATAATTTCACTTATTTGTTTTGTTTGATTCTAGTAAAGGGGGCTCTGTGTTTCACGTCGACTATAAGCCGCAACATAACAACATTAAACTTGCCAAATTATATTGTTATGCATTTGATAACAAATGCATTGAAGTGAACAGTTTTCAGTAAAGTTTATCACTGGAGATGTAGAAATCTGATAACATTTGGTTAACTAGTCCGTGGCTACCTCCTAAAAAGAATACAAAGTATTCTTTGCCAACCGACAGGTGAGATAGAAACACGAATCTTGACTTCGGTCCGAAAAAGTCTGTTTTATTTAAACTAACTAAGCTCCACTTCTGTTAGAGGAGTGTAAATTCCTTGTCATGGACGGACATTATGAGTGTCATGGGAAGACATGAACCTTAAAATACCCTGGGAGCTTAGACATTGAGATGAAAAACTCAGCTAATGTTTACTCTTTTTTTTTAAATCTCTTTTTTCTTCTAAATATTTTCCTCCCCCTCCAACTTTATTAGACGACTAACGGAGATGTAAGGAGTTCGCTCAAATTAATAAATCCAATTTGTTTTCTTGAAATTGAAACGTAAAGGTAATACCAAGTTTTGGTATGGGGTCATGAATTTGGTTCAAATGGACATATTGGAAGCATAGGCGATCCTATAATATTTAGTGATGGTTGACGCGGTTGAAATCGGGTCTGAAATCATGAAATTGTAAATAATAAACTCTTTATGTTTTGTATAGATCCCTCTCAAGGTCAAAATATTAATTAAGCTATAAAACAATGTTTTTTTGACTAAAATCTACTGATTTCCTATTCCCGGAAACTATATATCACAACTACATATTCTGAGATGTTCATGGTTGCAGCTGCCTTTGTATGGCCGTAGGCGCTATTTTAAATTCATCAAAATTTATCGGGAGCACCGGTAAATGTTTATATTCAATTTTTCTCGAAACCAGAAGAGTTTTAGGGGCTAAATTTTCTAGTGGTTATAAAACATCCCCAGGGGCATTGAAATATATCAAAATTGTAAAGAATTACTATGCACCCAATTTTCAAAATTTCCCAATACTTTGTATTACCTTTAATCTCACCAACACAAATTACATATAGTTCGTTAGCAGATTAAAAAAAAAATAACGAGGCTACCCATGTAATCAATAACAAGTTATGATTTGTCTAATTGAATCGTAATTAAATTGTAATGCAACATGATTATACAACCAATAACATTAACATACTAAATAAAACGTTTTAAAAAGTTAACACAATTTCCCACTCGACATTCCATCTCCAGAGGCATCAGCATCAGCCGGGGAAGTTTCTACTTCTAAAGCCAGGTTAGAATTGTTTCATAACCGCTAATGCAGATAAACACTAATCATTGTTAATACAAATATATAATCGATGGGACAATTCATATGTTACATAATATCATTCCGATATCGTTCTTAGATAATTATCTAGTATTACTAGCATAAATCGAAAGGTATAATAATTTTGAAGAAAAAGAATTTGAGTCCATGCTTGTGCTTTGGAAAAACGAAAAATCTTATTAGATTAGGTAGATATAAGGCACGTTTAATACAAAGAACATTATATTTTAAGATATGCAAACAAAATATGGTTCATCTGTATATTTATAATCCGAATTATTAAATGTGCTATACATTGTCAAACCGGTCAAATGTGATTATTATATAAAAAGCGAAATTTTATATTTTCTCCATTCAAAAATAGACCCTTCGAGGAATCTAGAGAGCACGATTTTGACGACCTTCTCATGACAGTGGCTAAGCGGATTCATAAAAAAAGTGACATCGACAGTCTCGGCGGGGAATTGGGTTTTGAACCTCCGGAAAGACAACGTTACATACATTTGAACGAAAGATACCATACTGTCACATATATGGGAACACGTAGTATGCTTCGGGATTGGAGGAACAGGACTTCGAGGTCAGAAGAACGTGAAATATTGAAAAAAGCCCTGATCGCGATTAATCACCATCGATTGGCAGACGACCTCTTGAACGACGATATGGGAAGTTAGTATTGACCAGAACAAATTGAAAAAAAAAATGAAACAGTTACATTTTGAATATATTTTTGGTATACTTTTGTCCAATGCATGCTAATTTACCTCTGTTTTTACCTACTTAGAATATATATAGGCAAAACAGATATTCATACCCACACATAAACACTTGAAAATATTTGTTTATTGAAAAGTGCATTGAAGTAACCTTAAAAATGGAAAAATGGCAAATGTATTTCGCATTTCGTAACAACTATCATCATTTTCAAATTGCCTTGATTGTATATGAGTCACATTTTTGGGCTTATATTATCAATTTAAAAAAAATGAAAATTCAAACTTAATCTCACCAACACGAATAGTATGTTGATCGTAAGCAGATAAAATAAAGAGGCAAAATGTTAAAGACGATAACTTCTTGGCGCATAGTCTTTTAGCTGTTTCAATATTACGTTTATAATTGCATATTCAGATGGACCTCCCCAAACATAGTATAGACATTTTGACTGCTAGGAGAGGCATCGCTATTTCTATAGGCTGAAGGGGACGTTACATCCTGCGATGACCCCGAGGCGCGCCGGGGCGGACGGCGCATTGAGGGGCCATCGGCGAAATTTAACGTCCTCGAGAGCCACTATAGAAACAGCTATGCTTTGAATATTAAAGCAGTCCATATATCTTTTATATACCGAATTCACAAAAATCTACAAAGAATTCTTACATTATCCTTTTCTTGGGTAAAAACTGATTAATATATCACAGAAAAGCTGAGATACTGTCTGTACATTTTTGCTGGAAAGTTGCCTCAATATTCGGAATCGCCCCACACTGCACTGTATTTTGTATCCGCGATCGTACAAAGAAACTGTTTACATGTAAACCAATGGGGATCTCAGCAATTACAAAACCTGAATGTAGCAAACAAATTGCACAAATATTATGGTACCCGCGCTCGAACAAAGAAACTTTTTACACGTAAACCAATGGGGATCTCAGTACAAAATTGCGGCCTGTTAACGGGGGCAACGGGCATCTTTAACAAAAAACTTTTGACCGGTAGGCGGGCATGCTAGCATCTTTTACAAATACTATTGATCAATGGGCGGGCATGGCTATAATCATGACTCCTATTTCGACCATTCAGATGGCTAGATTTTCTAAAGAGAGGTATATAATTGGTTTTAAGGAATTCTCTAAGTCCAACAAATATTAAGGGTATAGAATGACCATGAATAAGGGTAGACTTGCTATTCACTATTAAACGGAAGTTGGGATAGGCTTTAACCAATGTTCAGCAGATGTATACACAATTGGAAGACATGTTCTCATATAATTTCCA